AAAAAAAAAACGACTGATGAGTAGATAGAGTAATAATATGCAGAGGCACCCTGTGATAAAATCAACAACTGAAACGAATCATCATAATTCTTGTTTGTTGGCCGCTCCAGCGCCGAAGTATTGCTGGCCTTCCAATGTGATCTGCAATTTCCCGTAATTATGAATCTTTCATCACTATGCGGCAGCTGTGCAAGAAGAATTCAAAAATTGCAAGATGCAGCTGCTTACCTCGGTGACCTCAATCTGTTTCAACAAGAAATCTTTCGCCTCGAAAGCCTGAGATCCATCAGGGAACATAAAGATAGCTCGATCATCATCAATCAAAAAGACCTAAAACGGAAATACTATAATTACTTTTGCATTTGCATGAAGGTAAATTACCTTACCTGAGCTTGTATATGGTTATTAAGGAGCATTACACGCCAGAGTTCCGTCATTTTATTAGTGTAGGGCCGATCCTTTCTTGATGGTACTTGAGGATCTCGAACATTTACGAACATCATGAGAGTTTCACCTTTCTTCGTCCTTTTGAGTATTTCTTCCGGATTCTTTCCCTAAAACAATCACACGAACAAAGTAGACGTAATTTACCAGAATTAAAGAATTTCGAACCTCTAAACCCTTTAGATCAACCACTTTTGGTTTCTTCTTTGACGCTTCATCATCGTCATCATCTTCTTTATCTGGATCATTCTTCTCCCATTCATCATATAATCGTTCGAGATCAGCCTCACTGAAACGACTGTTCTCTTAAGCTCTGTTGACTTGATCGAACAACAACCCATTATGTGCTCTTTCTATTCGGACCATAAAAGTTATGCCGATAGAAAAAACACTCAGTCTTTAGCCGTGATTGCGGCAGAGTATAGGCCACAAGTAAGTCAACAATCCGAACCTATCCTCAACAAAAATTGAATATGGCAAAATGAATTCTACTGATATAAGCGTTTTCTCTACTGAAAACAAGAACATAGGAAGCTTCAGACATGTTCGAATTAATAACAAAGAGCATTGATACCCTGAAATACCGTAATCGCCGTTTCTCGTGTCATGCGTCACATCGTTTCCATCTCATAAA